TTGGATCTTCCGTAGGGAATACGGAGTATCTTAGGGGCCCCAAGCTCCCCAATATCTGGGTGACTATCGTGGTTCATCTTAATTCTCACGTCTCGTTCCATAGACTGAACTTACTAGGGTGGCAGAGAGCTTTGATGACAACGTGGATGTGACGGGTTTCTAGCTTTTCCATTTCCAAAGCACTTTCCTGTCCACTGTATCGTTTCATTCTCACAAAAGCCCAGGGAGAAAGGCAGAATCTGGACGACTGTCTACATGTGGAAACTAAGCCAGAAACCTGGGCATTGTTGCCTACCCTATGCACTTCTTCATGCGCTACATCCTGTCAGTCTGGTAAGAAAGCCTCCTTAACACATCCTATCCCTTCCCTTCCTCTCTGTCTCCCATGCTCTCACCCTGGTTCATCACTTCTTGCCTGGACTGGACTTAGCCCAGTCCTTGCTTCATTCCTCAGTCCTCTACACTAGCAACCTGAGTGATTGTTCTAAACGTCACCATGTTACCATCAGTCTTGATGAAACAAAACAAAACAAAAATATTTCAATGGCTCCCCATTACCAGCAGCAGCCTGGAGTGAGAAAAATGTTCTTGCCCATTCATTCGGAAGTCCTGCTCTGCCAGATAAAGCAGAAATAAGAAGTAATAAGCACCCCACCCTCCCATGCTGACCTGAACGTCAAGTCTTCCTAAAGTCCCAGGAGCCAGCTGTCAGCTTTGGTTTAGAATCATCATCCTTCCCTACGCCCCTCCCCCACCTCACATCTTAGAGGTCTGAGTCAGATACCAAAATAACTTTTACCCCATGTTCCACTATGACCTTATCTACAGTGTGTCTCTTTGGACAGGAGAACCACCCAATCAACAGCCCTTCTGGCTGTCTGACTTCTCTCTCAGCTCATCATTCTGAGCTTCTCCACTCCCTCCCTTTCCCTCACCTTCCCACTGTCCACCTCCTGGTAGCCCTTTCCACAGTGCCCTCTATATTTCTGTTCCTTTGTCAACAAACTCTCCTATACCCTCTGCTTCTTCAGGAAGTACTCGAGTTACTTTGCCTTTACTGAAACTTGACCCTCCTCCATGACTCCTCTCATAGCCCTCTGCAGGAAGGCTTCTCACTCTCCCACTCCCCCACATCCACAAGACCAGGAGGTGGGGTCAGCAATGCCACTTCCACCCTGGTACAAAAATTCCTTCTCCTTTGGTCTCCAGCCATACCACCCTCCGCCCTGCCTCATCAAGGACATTACTGACCTTCAACTGTTCCTTATGCACTGAAGACTTCAGCTCCTGGCTCATGGTCATCCTCATTAGCCCAGTCCTGCCGTCCTTCTGGTGCTTTCAGTAGCCATGTGGTTTCCTGGTCCCTCAGTTCTTGGTCTCCTCCTCATGTCACCTCCCATGGTCATATCTTGAACTTCTTAATCACTCAGAACTAGTGCCTCTGTGCCCTTAAAATCAAATATCCTCACCCTCTTTCTCCCACAAAACCCTAGTTCCCTCATTTCAAAATGGGTGTGATGAAAATGATTATTCATTCTTCACAGGAATAATAAGATAACAAATAATACCATCCTTTTAAAGTTGTGAAACAATATGAGAACAGATGGCATTGGGTTTACATTGCCTCAGTCGGGTCTTCTGATCACTTTCTCCTTCTTTCCTGAAAGGCCATGTAGTTAAGTAGACAGAGCACAGAGCCAGACGGATTTGGTTTTCAATCCTTGTTCTGTACCCCTACTTCCTGTGTGAGCATACATAAATTATTTCATTTTTCTGACACATGCATCTCGTCCTCATTTGTAGAAACAGCAATAACGTTGTGAAGGTCAAATAAAAAAATGAGATAGCTACTAGAAAGCACTTGACAGAGTGTCAGGCACATAGTAAGCCCTCAATAATTAGGAAGCACGGTGGTTATTATAATAGAAAAAATGCTATTTTTAACCACAGCTGCCCTCCGAGAAGGATAGACCTTAATATACAGAGGTCCCTTTGTCCCGCTGAGGACCTTGAGGAGTGTGGATACATAGTGTGAGAGGAGAAGGGAGACACTAACTTGCTCTGTGCAAAAAGAAGGAGAAGAATGTGGAATTCACTTGGCAAAGTGGATGGGAAAGATAATAAGGAGAGCTGGAGGAGGAAAGGAAAAAGATGAGTAAGAAAATCAGGGTAAGGGTAGGTGCTACATGGGTAAAGGGTCAGAAGAAACCCTCCTGTGACAGGTGGACAAAGGGTGTTTCAGCTCTGGAATGCATTAAATGGGAAAAGTTGTTGCACATACAATGTAATCATGTTCTGTGACTCTCAAGCCTTCAATAAAGGCCATTACACTCAGGTATGCTTTCTAAGAGAAGGGAGTTGTGAGGGTGAGTGAGTAGGGAAATTGAGCAATGGGCTTTGTTTTTCTGAGTTGAAAAAGGAGACTAGAGGCAGAGACTAGGAGAGAACAAGTACTCATGGAATTTGCAGAAATCTCTGGGAGGTCTTCCAACTTATAAGGGTTATAAAATGTGAAAATTGAGGTTCAAGCTCATTGCATCTAGATCTTAATGGGGCAAAGAGGCTACATCTGACATTTGGGCTGTATCATTTGTGCCCCCAGTAGCTACCTCCCTATTGACCAGCAGGTGACCACCCAAGAGAATACAAAACAAGTCAAATTATATTGATTTGTTTTCACTTCCAGATCCAAATGCCGTCAGCAGGGATAGAATCTCTCTCTCTCTCTCTCTCTCTCTCTCTCTCTCTCTCTCTCTCTCTCTCTCTCTACACACACACAACACACACACACACACACACACACACACAGGGGAAGCATTCATGTGAATAGTCCAGAACCCAGGTCCCACCCACCCCTCTCCCTCTCCCTCGCTCAACCTACCAACCCTTCACCAAAGCCTGTCCATGCTACCTCCAAGGGCTCTCCATTCCATCCCTTACTCTCCACTGCATGGCCATAGCCTTCTCATGGTCCTACTCCCATGATAGCCTCCACGCTTTTCTTGTAATCCACACTCCACACTGCAGCACAAGACTCTTCCCAACCTAGCTTAAATATGTTTGGTATGCACAGAAGGCCTCTTGTTTGGCCCCAGCTACCCTCTAGCATCATTACTGGACACTCCCCCATCTTGCCCTAAGCTTCAGTGTTAAACTACTTTTGGTTCCCAGAGTGTGACTTGCTTCATAACATCTCAATGCATTTACCTCAGTTTCCTCCTCTACCTTGAATACAATTCACTCACTCATTCATTCACTTGCTTACTCACAAAGTAAATATCTCCTGAGCACCTGCTATACACCAGAGTGGATAGCAAATGGTACCCAACCCAAGTCACTCAGTGTCTGCTGCAGGACAGCAGGCTGTAAGATCCACTGGTCTGAGTTCACAAAGGTATAGACCGAACTGCAACCCAATATGGTACCTCCTGGATCATTCTTAGAAGGGGTCAGGGGACACTTGCTGAATAAACAAGCATACAAATATTCACAAAGGATTTCTCACATTCCCTATCTCATTTAACTTTCACAATAACCTATGAAATGGGAACTGATTCATTTCATCTTGGATATGAGGAAGAAGTAAGTAGCCTATGATTTCTTAGCTACTGAAAGTAGGGAAAGCCAAGACAAAAATCAGCCATGTTAGTGAACAGCAAGACAAAGCTGTTTTCTCACTGTGGGATACATCAATGGGGAAAAGCTTCAGAGTTAGACAGGCCCCATGCTGGGATGCAGGTCCTGGGATGCAAAGTTGAGACTTAAGCTGAGCCTTCAAGGATAAGTAGGAGTTCAACTCATGAAGAAGGAAGCGAGGCAGATGGACCAGTAGGAGTAAAGGCCCAAAGGTATGAAATTATATGAAAGCTTCAGGGAACTTCGGGGACTGTAAATCTCTGGAAGCACAGACATGATGGGCACAGTGCAGGTGATGAGTGAGCTGGGAGGGTAAGTCAGAGCCAGAGGTCAGCCCAGGCCTGGGGGCCATGCTGAGGATGATGAATTCATTGATCAGGACAATGTGGAGCTGTTACACTGCTTTCTCTAGGGGGAAGACTTGGCCAAATTTATGCTTTAGAAAGATCTCAGCCTGTACAAAGGAAGACGGATCAGAGGTCCCAAGGTACAGAGGACAGGGAGGCCAGAGAGAAAGCTGGTGCAGTGACTTCAAAAGAGATTATTAGCCTGAGCTGGGAGATGCAGTGGGACATTAAAGGGATGAAAAGGACAAGATTTAGTGACAAATTGGATGTAGATGGGGAAAAAGGAAGTGGAGGCAACTAGGAGAGCTTTCCGACTTGGGTGGTGCTGTTCCCTGTGAGAAAGGGAACAGGAGAAATAGCCACAGGAGTGTGGTGTCCCAGAGAAGGG